TACTTGCCTTGAAAAATGGATTTGGAAATGTTCCCTTCCTCTTTTTTGGAAGAGTTTGAGTAGGAATGATGTTAATTCTTCTTTAAATATATGGTAGAATTCACCAATGAAGCAGTATTCTGGAACTTTGTTGGCAGGTTTTAGATTGCTGATTTAATCCCTTATTAGTAATCAGTCTGTTCAGATTTTCTATTTATGATTCAGTTTTGGTTGGTTCTTTGCTTCTATCAATGTACTCATTTCTTCTAAGTTGTCAAACTTGTTGGCATATAATTGTTCTTAGTAGTCTCTTATGATTTGTTGAATTGCTGTGGTATCATTTGTAATGTCTCCTTTCGTTTCTGATTTTTAGTTGAGCCCTCTTTTTTGTGTGTGTGTGAGTCGCTAAAGGCTTGTTAATTTTATCTTTTCATAGAGCTAGCTCTTATTTTCATTGATCTTTTCTGTCTCTTTAATTCATGTCCTCTTATCTTTATTTCCTTCCTTCTACTAATTTTAGACTTTGTCATCTTTTTGTAGTTCCTTAAGGTGTTATGTTGTTTGACTTTTATTCCTTGAGGTAGGCCTTTATTGCTATAAATAACTGCCTTAGAAGTGCTTTTGCTGCAGCCCATATATTTTGGTATATTCCATTTTTATTTGCCTCAAGGCATTTTTAAAATTTCTCTTTTGCTTTCTTTGACCCATTGGTGATTCAGTAACATGTTAAATATTCACATATTTGTGAACTTTCCACTCTTCTTCTAACTGATTTCTTTCATACCATCATGGTTGGAAAAAAATGCTTGATACAATTTCAGTCTTTTTTTTTTTTAAATATATTTTTTAAATGTTTTATTTATTTCTAGGAGAGAGAGAGACAGCGTGAGCAGGGGAGGGTCAGACAGAGAGGGAGTCACAGACTGAAACAGGCTCCAGGCTCTGAGCTGGCAGTCAGCACAGAGCCTGACACGGGGCTTGAACCCATGAACCGCGAGATCATGACCTAAGCGAAAGTCAGACGCTGAACTGACTAAGCCACCCAGGCGCCCCACAATTTCAGTCTTCTTAAATTTATTAAGATTTCTTACATATCCTAACATATGATCTGTTCTGGAGAATGTTCCATGTGCACTTGAGAAGAATGTGTTTTTCTGCTTTTGGATAGGATGGTGTGTATATATGCATTAAGTCTGTCTCTTCTAACATGTTGTGTATGGCTGATATTTCCTTACTGATTTTGTCTGGATGATCTATCTATTGATGTAACTAGGGTATTAATGCCCTCTACTATTATTGTATTGCTTTCTTCCTTTAGACCTGTTAATATATGCTTTATATATTTAGGTTCTCCTATGTTCGGTGCATAAATATTACCCATCTTTATGCTCTCGTTGGACTGACCCCTTTATCATTATGTAATGCCCTTCATTGTTATTATAGTGTTTCAAAGTGTTATTTTGTCTGATGTATGTATGGCTACCTCCACCTGTCTTTTGATTTTCATTTACATGGGATATCCTTTTCCATCCCTTTACTTTCAGTCTGTGTGTGTGTGTCCTTACACTTAAAGACAGTCACTTACAGGCAGCATATAGATGGGCCTTTTTTCTTAAATTTTAATTCATTCAGGTACTCTATGTCTTGATTGAAGAATTTAGTCCATTTACATTTGAAGTAATTATTGATAGTTAATGTCCTTATTGCCATTATGTTAATTGTTTCCTGGCTGTTCTGTAGTTCCTCTCTTCATTTGTTTTCTTCCTTTGTGGTTTGATGACGTTCTTTAGTGGTACACTTAGATTCTTTTATTTTTATAATTGGTGTGTTATAGATTTTTGCTTTGTGGTCACCATGAGCCTTATATTTGTAACAGTCTATTTTATGATAACAGCTTAAACTTGAACACATTCTGAAATTCTACATTTTTACTCTCCCTCCCTCCTGTTTTTTTTTTGATGTCACAGTTTACATCTTTTATCTTGTGTATCCATTGTTGTAGTTTTAGTTTTTTTTTTTTTTTTACTACATTTGCCTTTTCGCCTCCAAACTAGCTGTATAAATGTGATACTCCACTATAAATGATTATTCCATTAACTTTTACTCCATATTTACCTTTACAAGTGAAATTCAGGCTTTCACATGTTCTTAATTAGTGCCCTTTTCAGCTTAACAAATTCCCTTCAATATTTTTTTGTAAAGCTGGTTTAGTAAGCCATTAACTCCTTTAGCTTTAGCTTGTCTGAAAACCTCTATCTCCAATTCTGAATAACTTTGCTAGTTAGAGTATTCTTGGTTGGAAGTATTTTTCCTTTCTGTACTTTGAGTTTCATGCCACTCCCTTCTATCCTGCAGTTTCTGCTGAAAAATCTGTTAGTCTTATGGGGGTTCCTTTGTGCATAAGTTGTTTTGAATATTGCTGATCTTAAGATTCTCCTTAACTTTTGACATTTTAATTATGTCTTAGTGTACATCTTTTGGGGTTCATATTTTTAGAACTCTGTGCACTTCCTGGATCTGGATGTCTTTTGTTTTGGTTAAGGAGGTTTTTAGCCATTATTTCTTGAAATAAGTTTTCCACTCCTTTCTCTCTCCCCCCTCCTCCTGAGAGCCCTATGATATGAATGTTAGTCCACTTGATGTTGTCCCACAAATCCCTTAAGCTTTTTTTTTTTTTTTTTTTGCTGCTCTGTCTTCAAGTTCACTGATCCTTCTGATTTATCTAGTCTGCTCTTGAACCTCTCTAGTGTATTTTTTCAGTTATTATATTCTTCAGCTTCCATGACCCTTCTTTGGTATTTTCTTATATTTTCTCTTTCTTAAAGTTCTGTGTTGATCCATTCTCCTCCAGGGTATGGTGAGCATCTTTATGACCATTACCTAGCTTTTTAACATTTTTAATGTTTATTTCTTTTGAGAGAGAAACACAGTGTGAGTGGAGGAGGGGCAGAGAGAGGAGAGAATCCCAGGCAGCCTTAATATTGTCAGCACGGATCATGACCTAAGCTGAGATCAAGCATCAGTTATCTTTTAGTAAGGTGTTTTTCCCGAGGGTCCTAGATAAAACAGCCTCTCCCCTTTGTGAAGGAGTGAACTCATGTAGGAGATGGACCTTATTGTTCAACCAGGTCCTAACTCTTGGTTGGCTCTCAAACCTTTGTGATTGTCTGTGCAGCCTATTTTATTATTAATGGTTCCTAGTGGTTGAGGATGTGCCAAAACCTGTCAGTGTCCCAAAGGGGAGAATCTCAGCACCTAGATTCAGGCTGACTGGAAGATACTCAGGCAGCAGCTTAAAAAATATGCAAATATACATAGTCCTTTGGGAATGCAAGCATGAACTCCATGGGCCACCAGTGCCAGGTGATCTAGAGGTGTCCTCTGGGGGGCAGTTCCAAAAAACCAGGACTGCAGACAAGCGTATAAACTCCTGTGTGGGATATACTGCAAGTTGGAGTGAGGCAGAGGGATAGTGTGAAGATGGCATGCAGTGGCCTGCGTGCCCAGAGAACACAGTGTCAGGCCTTAGGTGCATGCAACCCTTGAAGCCTACCCTGCAGGACGAAGCACCAGCTCAAGCATACAGATCTCTCTATAGTAAGGCTGGGGGTGCGCTTCAGTCTGCTTTCTGTAGTGTCCTGGGCGCGACAGCCTGCCAAGGACTCTGATTACCGACGTCCCCTCCCCCCAGCAGAGCCAGGGGGGAACGGAACATCCCAGAGTGGCAGGCCCCAAGGACTGGGACCCCAGATGCATATAAAAGCTCCCCTCCAGGAGACAGCGGTGCTCTGGAGTGTGGCGGTGGGGAGAGTGAAGAGGGCTCCTCCTTCCAAGGTCTCCAGTGAGGATGGTCAGCCCCGCGAGCTGTGCTCCTTAGAAGCCTACCCTGCCGGCTGCAGCTGCGGTGGTGAGCCATCAGGCCTCTTTCCCAGACTGAACTCCTGGGCGTGCTGTCTCTTGCTGTGCTCTGGGGATCTTGGCCATTTAAGAACTCTGTGAGGCCCACCAGCAGGAGCCCCACGGACCCCCAGAGCCAGGATACATAGAAGTGTTCTCCAGGCACTGGACACACATCAGAGTTCCTTCCTGACAAATGGTGTTCGGAAGCACAGCAGAGGGAGAAGCTGGTGCCCACTGGCGGGGGAGTGGCTTACAGAGAAGGTGCCCACCAAGAAAGAAAATGAGGCAAGAAAAAGCCTAGAGCGTTTTGTTGTGTCTTTCCGTTTGTTTACCGTGCCCTCCAGTTGGAGCAAGATGGGATGGACGAAGGGGACACCCGCCAGTCCCCGGACCCAGAGTGTCCCAGCGTGCCCCCACTGTGTGAGATCAGCTGCCGGTGCTCCCACACAAAGTCCAAGTACCCCTCAACGGGCCACTTCCATGCTGGGCCCTGGGGCCAGGGTGTCCCAAGTGTATGAGCCCTGCAAGAGCTGTTTCTGGGATCACTAGTCTTGTGGGTCTTGTGGGTGTGAGCCTGTTGCTTTTCAAAGCTACATGGTTTAGGGGCTTGTCTCTCAGGCACAGATTTTAAAAGTTGGGATGCCCAGTGTGGGGTCCACGCCCGTTGCTCTTCAGGGAGAAACTCCGGGTTTTGAGTTCTCTCCCAGCTGTGGGTCTCTGCATCGGGAGTGGGACTTCTGGCAAGATTGTGTCCCAGCTTCTCCCACCCACTGTGACATGGGTCTTCTTTCAGTGTGTGTATCACTCAGCTAGCTCTTAGGGGCTCTTTTCTCAGACTAGGCTGACCTTTACGTACCTGTAGAGTCAGGGCCCTCTCACGCCGTCATCTTTAATGGGATCCCCTGCAATCTGATTTCCATCTTGACGGGGTTGGAAAGATGAGAGAAGCCACCGGAAGTGGTGGCAAACCCACGGCCAAAGGACCACCAGGCTCTGTGTTTAATCCTCCTGTTGATATGCGGTCACCACAAGGCCCTGTTCAGGCCAGTTTCTGTGCTTCAGGCCTCAAGCCTGGGAGAGAGAGGGTCTCGCAAACGTGTGCACTTTCCTCCCCGTTCCAGAGTCTGTCCCACTGCGAGCTCATCACGGATGACGGGATCCTGCACCTGAGCAACAGCACCTGCGGGCATGAGAGGCTGCGGGTCCTGGAACTGGACAACTGCCTCCTCATAACGGACGTGGCCCTGGAGCACCTGGAGAACTGCCGCGGCCTGGAGCGCCTGGAGCTGTACGACTGCCAGCAGGTGACCCGCGCAGGCATCAAGCGGATGCGGGTAAGCGTGGGCAAGTGTTGCTGACACTGGCTAAGCGAACACGGAACAGGTCAGGAATCGACATCCATTTTCCACATTTTACCCTAAGGCTGTAGTTATGCAAATGGGCATGTTGTACAGGCATCTCCTCATTAAAAATTTCCTTGTTAGACCTCACCGTGGCGGTTTCAGCTTCCAGAACGGAGGTCAGAGGCTCCTCGTAGTCTGATCAGAATCCTTCTAAGGAAGGAGCCTTAAGGTTGTTACCAGTGGGAAGGAGACCGTGGTCTTGGTTAATTTCCAGATAAGAAGGCTTCAGTAGAAGGTGGCTCCCCCCCACCCCACCCCAGGTAGTTTACCTACAGTTTTCTGGAATATGCTCCAAGCTTTGCATTTACCTCTCAGAGCTGCCCCAGGTGCGAAAGCTGTGAGGTCTGTGCTGTTTGCATCCAGGGCCGGGGACCACCCCCGGGGCAGATATTCTCTCCTGTCTCTAGACGGTGCTGGCTTAGGGGATAGTGTCAGCAGGAGTCGCTGTAGCCCACACCAGAATTCTATCCTATTGGCCCGAGGTAAAGGAGTCCATGCTATATGGAGAAGGTGTGGGCTAGTCTAGGATTGTGCGTCTAATCTTCAAAATCCCCACGTGGTGACGACTCCAGGTTGCTCTTTTCTGCTTCCAGGCTCAGCTCCCTCATGTCAAAGTTCATGCCTACTTTGCTCCCGTCACCCCCCCGACGGCAGTGGGAGGAAGTGGGCAGCGACTGTGCAGGTGCTGTGTCATTCTCTGACAGCAGTTGTCTGAACCCAAGGCGTGAGGTGTCCCTTCCTCCAGAGAGGACCCAAGTCTTCCCGAACTGCTCCACCTTCACCCAAATCTCTCGGTTCTCCATTGGGAAAGGCATGTACAGGTAAAAGACTCCGCCAGGGACCGCAGTGTCTCCGGTGAGAGAGTCTTCACCTCTATTCTGCTACGATGCAATCACATCACAGCCTGGGTCTGGTAGCACACGGAGCGCGGTCTCAGGGTAGCTGGGACACGCAAGAGAGGTGGGTGCCTTCTTAGGTACAGAAGCCCCGCCCCCGGCCGTGTCAGCATTCCTCATACAGACCATCAGTGTTAGCACAAATTGAGAAGAAATAAGCTGTTGATTTTCTACCCAATACTTCAGCCAGTGGCCTACTTTAATTCACAGATTTCATTCTGATGAGGACTTTTCCACTTTGAAGATTAAATTAGCCAACTTTCTCAAAGTGACTGTTCCGCAAATTCACGATACCTGATGGTTTTCTACATAGAGACTTGAGGCGGGAGGCAAGGTAGTGGGTTTCCATGAGACACCAAAGAAATGAGACTCTGAGCTGGGTGGGGCGGGGTCTTCACCCTGCTGTTTCCATCAACTTGTCACATACACTTTTGGGGACCAAAAGCTAAAAACACAGAGCTCGAAGGCTGTGTCGCTGCCTCACTGGAGAGGAGAGTGGGTCTCTTAGAGGAGAGAAGCTAATCCTGTCGTCTCTCGCGAGATCTGGGGGGCCTTAAAGAGCTAGAATGAGGCTTAAGTTATCTATAATATAATCAATTAAAAATAATGAATGGATGCATGTAGAATGGGTGTGATTTTTTCCAAGTTTATTTTAAAATCTTAGAAATCAGGTTACACCAGAACTATTCAAAACTGTACACACTTAAAACTCAGATCAGTAAAGTGTTGGCACCTTTCAGACTCATAATATAAAAATGAAAAAAAACCATAGTGATGCTTAAGTCAGAGGGTTTTATTGCTATAATCTTATGGCAGACAAGTCTGAGCAAAACCAGTTTCCAAACCCAGACCTTCCCAACATGATCTAAACTTGGAGGAGCTCTAGGCTTTGCTCTGGGTTGTCCACACGTGTGACCCTAAGATTAGGGACCCGCCACCACACTCACGCTGTAAACTTCAGGGTTAAGGGCAGCTGATGACCCATCCTAGCAACCGCTCCCCACAGCGAAGGGCACAGAGCTGACGGGAGGCTGAAGAGGGCCAGCAAAGCCGCGGCGGTGTCTTCCCCGGGCCAGCAGCGCTCTGGCGGAGGGACCGTTCAGGAGCATTTGGGAGACAGTGGAAGAGAAGGCAGGTACATACACGACCCCTTAAGTCACTTTAACAAGCTTATCAGGATAAGCATTCGAGTCCTGATGACTTCAGCGCCTGATGACACGTCCTCTGGTGTTCCCTGGCCGAAGTGTGCGAACACCACAGCGGTGGTTTAAATACACACTCACACCGCTGTGTGTGGCAGTGTGACTGTGGAAGGAAGCTAGTCAAATCAACACAGAGCATCGAACAGATTGCTTCGGTAATTATAGTCTCTATTTTAAAAATGTATATGGCCGGGGCTTCCCATGCACGGTCTGTGAGCCGGGACACCACCTCTCGGAGCCACTGGGCTCACTCCTCACTGCCATGACCTTACTCAGAAAACAGGAGGCCCTCAGGCGAGGTTTCTCGGAGGAGAAGGTCAGGTCCACTTCCTGAGTGTGATCTGTCTTCAGCTGCATCAGCTCTGAGAAAACAGACAGACTGAAGAGAAAACCGCACACAGGCCTCACCTCTGAACCTCTTGTGCTCAACACCTGCACGGAACCCCCTCAATTCTAGGGCCTGAGGGGACACTGTCAGGAACTGGGATTTTAAATGAGACACGCGTTTGCAAAACAATCGGAAAACATTTATTTTACTGAAATGTATACATCCTACTATTAAAAAAACAAAGTAGCAAATTTGCTGGTGCCATAATTTAACCTGTTTCGCTGGGACAGACTAATTTTCAATGCTGCTTGGTAGAATTTCAAGTTCGATGAGCTTTTAAAGTGTTTTTAACCCCATTTCTAAAACTTGGTGAGGAATTCAAAATAGCACACAGCATTAGATGACATTTATTGTTCCGTATATCTTGAGACTCAAAAAGGAATGCTAAATAGACAAGCAAAACTCTAAAAACAAGAGATATGCTCACTTCTTTCCCAAGTGATGGGCACAGAAGACGTGCTCATACAGAAGCAAAGGGAGAGGACAGAAGGAAGGTCCCGCCGCCTTGGGGTCTACAGGGCTCACAGACACTGTCAGAGTAAGGATGACAGTATGCAGAGACCTGCTGCTTAATCCCCTTTAAGAATAAAACACAAAGCGTCAAAGCTTTTCACCCACTGAAGGAGTCTGTCTTCGGGAGAGATTCCAGAGTCCAAATTACTCATTCCTATTTCTGCCCGAACAAAGGTAAGAGTCAAACGACACATTCAAAACCGAGACAGCTGGGTACGTGGACAGAGATGCCGTGGCTAAAGGGGAACTGGAGTTTACAAATCCGGTCTGCTAGAGCACAGGCTGCGCGGATGCTTGCTGGTGCGTGGGGGAGGGATGCGAGAACGAGGAGAAACTTGCAGAAGCAGTGGGCTCCCTTTGAGAAGTGTGCGGCAGAGAAGCATTTGGTTTTGTGGAAGAGGCACCCTTCGTATACAAAAAGAGGCCGTTATGTGATGTATAATAAAGCCTCTTAAATAATCACCAGAGCGTTTATCCATGATTGTACTAAAGCTCCATCTTTCAGAAGTGTGGGGAATTCTGACGGCACAATTTAGTGTTTCATTTATGACACCTAATTTGCCACGAATAATTTCAACTCATCGGTAACAAAGACCCCTTGGCGGCAGGTCAGAAAACGACCACAGTTTTCCCCCTGCCCAGGGCACCTGTTTCCATGGGACGGGGTGGGGTGGGGCAGCACAGGAGGGTTCAGAGTGAGGAGGGGCCAGTCGTCGGAAACGGGGAGAGGGAGGGACGCCACATGAGTTTCAAAGGGCAACGGGGCTTCGAAAATGAAATCCAGAAACAAAATGCTAAAAATGGAAGCGGAGGCAAAAGGTTTTTCAGGAAACCTGTGACAAAGCGAAAACACAAAAGTCTTTGTACCTATTAGGGTTTACACTGATCCTCTCACCAAGGTACTCTTGATAATGCAGTTTGCGTCATGCCCGCCTTCCCGGCTCGCGTCCTCCCCGATCCGGCACGGTCCCGTCACACACACCCTTACACATGATTTCCTCCGAGAAGGTGCCACGACTCTTACCTGACCACCAACCACGGCATCAGGGCGTGGCATCTGCGGACAGACCCCGTGCTGGCTCCACGACAGCACTGGCCCCCGGCCCCGCCCCGGGGCAGCACAAGGTTCAGGCAAGGAGAGCCAGACTGGCACAGAGAGGTAAATGCCCACAGTACGTTTTACATTCATTTCCAAACCGCATACATACAGTGTAAAAAGACAGCCAAGGCTGCTTCTAGGGACTGTACCTACTGGCCTCTGCTGGACAAGCAGGCGGCCCGCCCGCGCGCGGCCCCCGGAGCCGCACGCCCGCTGTCCCGACGTGCTCGCTCTCACGAGGATGCTCGGCTATGGCAGTGACAGTGAGGACATTCGCCTCTCATACAGCTCATTAGAAAGGTCATCTTGTGTTTTCAATATGAAACATTTCATACGGTAAAATCCAATCCCAAGACTTCTTGGATTCAGTCTTCACACACTTTTAAGCGTGACTTTATTTGGTACTGAATAGAGTTCAGACTAAGTAAGACATCACTTCAGAACTATGTGGATGCCGTCCCCGTTCTCCGCTGCGGGAAGAGGAAAGGCGTGTTACACACAATTCCTTCAGCCAGGCCCAGGAAGACCCAGACTACTAACCGAAAACTCCTAAAAACCTACACCCCCTCTTCCCAGTTCAAGTTACCTTTAAATAATTCTAGAGAGAAGCTCGCACACATTTCCCCTGTGAGGTTTTACTTCTTAACTTCCAGCCCACATGCCCATCGGCGCCCCGTGCCCCGCTGCTGGCCAGCTCTGGGCAGGCGGGGGCGCAGAGCAGGCGGGGGCGCCGTGCCGGGCCAGAGCGCGGCCACTCCACACCTCCCACACCACCCGAGTGCCCGCCCCGTCTAGCTCCTCAGAGGCAGCGCTGCAACATTATGAAAAGATCCCTACTTTTGTCTGACGGCCAGTGTTTCTCAGGACATGGCAAAGAACGGTACACAGTCCTCAAGGAACGAAAGAAACCTTTTCACAAGAAACAGTTCAGGGAGACCGGAGGGGGAACAGTACAGGGAGACTGGAGGGGATGGCCTGTGAGGTCTGACACCAGCGACGGCCACCGCCTTTGCGGGGCGCAAGTGCACAACCGGCCTGCAGACTCCTCGTCGACAGCTGGAGCTCCGCAGAGAAGACGCTGCACTGCTCTCCCACGAGGGCGCAGCCCAAGGTGCCGTGGCAGTGACCGAGGGAGCCAGCCGGCTCAGTTCAAGCTACCCTGGCGGGTGACTGACGGCAAATGCAAGCAAGGTGCCAGCACAGGCGAAGCCGTCCCTCCAAGAGTGACGTCCAGGGAAGGGGGACCCGGGAAATCTCGGCTCTTCGAGGTGCAGCTTTTGTGCTAAGGCTGGATTTAGATCTCAACCCACCAGACTTATTTTCAGTCTCTGCTTCACATATAATCACTTTGCATTTAGAAAACCCTCCCAGGGCGTCTGGGGGGGCTCAGTGGGTTGAGTGTTCAGCTTCGGCTCAAGTCAGGATCTCCTAGCTGGTGAGCTCGAGCCCCGCGTCGGGCTCTGTGCTGACAGCTTGGAGCCTGGAGCCTGTTTCAGATTCTGAGTCTCCTTCTCTCTCTGCCCCTCTCCTGCTCATATCCTCTCTCTTTCTCTCTCTCAAAGATGAACATTAAAAAAAAAAAAAATTTTAGGGGCGCCTGGGTGGCTCAGTTGGTTAAGCAGCCTGACTTTGGCTCAGGTCATGATCTCACGGTCTGTGGGTTCAAGCCCCGTGTCAGGCTCTGTGCTACCAGCTCAGAGCCTGGAGCCTATTTCAGATTCTGTATCTCCCTCTCTCTGCCCCTCCCCCACTCATACTGTCTCTCTCTCTCCCCCCAAAAATAAAAAAGACATAAAAAATTTAAAAAAAATTTTTTTTAGTTATAAAAACAAAAAATCCCCTGCTTTAACCCTCTAGTTGGAACTCCCCTGTGCCCTCCTTCCATATCCTTTCCCTAAATAAGCGCAATCCTTTCCACAGCTTGGAGCCACTGCTGACGGGCCGAAAGCTTCCAAATTACATCTCCAGTCCAGGCCTCTCCTGCCAGCCCCAGACGGGGACAGGTCACTGCCAACTTGACCTTTCTGGCACATCTAAAATGGGGCTCTTGACTGCTTCCCCCAAATCATTCCCGCCTCTCTACTGGGGCCATCGTCTGTCTGCCCAGCTGCTCTTCCAAGAGTCCAACCGCCCCTCCCGCAACAGTGGAACCCAGCAGGGCCCCGGCCCCTAAACGCGTCAGACCCCGGTGACCCTTCCTGCCTCCAGCTTCCCCCCACTCTCATGTCTCCAGAGTTTCAAGAGTGGAAGAAAAACCAAATCGCATTCAAACAAACACTCCCTTGTTTAAGCAACTTCACTGACTTCCCAGTGCGTTTCAAATGGAATTGACCGTGCCCACGTCCTGCACGCCAGCCCGCACCTCCCGCTCTGGCTCCACCTGGCCCCTCGGGCCTCTTCCACCGTGTGGCCTTCTCTCCAGTTCGCATCCAGCCTCGCGTCGTCTTGGGGTGCTCTTCAGGCGGGCAGCTCCCCTCAGGCCTCAAGTCTCAGCATCACTGACACCTCCTCAGAGAGGCCTTGCCCAAACACTCCATGTCCCCCGACTGAGCTCCCCCTTAAACACGAGCACCCCTACTTTCCCCCTCCTCCACGGCACTTGAAAGATTCTGTAATTCTATGTATCTGTCGGCCAATTCTGATTCGCTTTCCCCTCTAGGAGTTCCACGGAGTCCGTTTTGTTCAAGACCTTTCTAGCACCAAAAGGCGCTCGGTAAAAATGGGGGCTGAACTGAGGTTTTTTCCTCAGTAACCTAGGACTGACTCCTTTTCCTTATTTGCTCGTTTCTATTGCAACCACTGGAAATATTCTCTTGATTCGCTTTTAAAAATCTTCTTAAAACCAGCGAAGCCAAAATTTTCAAAAGTAAACACACGAGATGACGACTGATTGCAGGCACACACTCTTTCATGACCCCAGCATTTCAAGACACACACATTCATGCAAAGTACCTTTTACTGTGAAGAATAAAAAACAACTCTCATCTTGAAAGTTCTGAACCATCTAGAAGGATAAAGCAGATACACAATTAAGATCCAGCTGTTTTTTCTGAACTGATTAGAAAAGGTTTTTAAAATTAGCAGCTACAGGGAAATGTCATAATTTATATGTTGCTGCACACGGAACTCAAAGGTCAAAATAATAATTCGAGAAGGCAGTGTGAGGCAGTCAGTTTACACCTGCTGCCCGGGCAGGGCCCTGGGCTGACCATGCTGGCCCGTGACTGGTCCCTGAGACATGGGAACAACCCACCTGACCCACTGGGAGCTCCCCTGCCCCCACCCCGGGCCCTGTGGATAAAAACTCTTAAGAAAAAGTCACAGTATAAGTGTTCTATTACCTCACTGTCACTCAACACTGGGGGCACGATAACCTTAATGTTTTTAAAAACTAAGTCATCAAATAGCGGACAAATGCGTCCCTACATAAAAAGGGCCAAAGCCCCGCTAACCCCAAAGTTCGCCGGTGAGTGTCTAAGGGGCTGAGGGGCGGAGGCGCCTGAGCCCGGGTCTCCTCGGTCTGTAACCCTTATATCACCGGGAGACCCGAAACCCTTGGTTATAAATTCTTACAAACTTGACCGCAACTCTGAAACAGACTCTCAGGAGCCCTTGCACAAGAGCTCACAGGACCCCCCGCCCATGGTTCTTCAATGACAGACAGCAGACACCAGTGCAGAAAAGCAGCAGGCGTGCCGGTTTGGGTTACCTGGTCGCTAACAAGAATGTGAATACCGGTGGGACCCTGTCTGTAGACCTGGTTAATTTGGTGGAAAGGAATATTAAACACCAATGCAAGTTTTCGGGCAACTTCTGAAGCAACCATTTCTTCCAAGTAGATTGCATGATAAACTGAAATAAAAAACAAAAACAGCATTTTAGCAGTAATCTTTGATCTATTTTCCACCTCATCAGTAGGAAGATCACAAAGTACTAAAACACGTACATAGTAAGAGTAAACCCTACACGAGGGTCTGAGGGTTTTCTTGCAGGAATTAACTGCAAATGGGCACAGGGGACTTTTTGGAATGTTGGGACTCAAACTTAATAGTTGTAAAGGCTGCAAAACTCTCAATTTACTAAAAATATCCTTGAGTTGTATACTTACAATGGAAGGATCTTACGGTACCTAAATTAGAGCTGAAGAAAGCAGTTTCCAAAGCCATCATGGGTTTCTAACAATATGTAAAAAGTTCGGTCACGACTCTGGACTCAGGAACCCTACCACTGGGAATGTGTCTTAAGGGATAAAACCCCCTCCCCACCACCGAAAATTCATCACCATGGGGAAGACCCCACACGAAAACCTAAGGACACGGATGGTGAAGCCTGCTGTTCCCGCAGTCGCAGCCACAGGCCACCCAGGGCCCTGCGTCCCCACAACGCTGAGCTCCCAGCACCTGTCACGTGCACACACCCAGCGCCTCTGAGGCAGGCGCAGAATCTGGGCAGCCTGGCAGCTGCTTAGCAGCGCTGGAGCCCGGCTTCCCCAAACAAGGGGTTTTCTTGTGTTTATAATAATGGAAACCTCGGCTGTGATTAGCAGATCAGATAATATAATATACAATGTAATGTAATATAATGTCATAAAATATAATGTAAAGGAAACCTCTGCTGTGATTAGCAGATAATATGTATCAATCATATATAATTAATATAACAATATAATCAATATAACATAACCTAATAATGAAAACCTCTGCTAATTACACATTATGAAAAGCCTAGATTGTGGAATTACAATTGAGGTGAGACACAGAGACAATCTAGAGCGAGCCCCCAAACTACAGCCTGTGTAAGCCAAGCCCCGCCATCACTTGCTCTTTTCCAAACCACAAGGCAGCCATCTCCATCACTACACGTGGCCTGGGGTGGTGCGGGTGGCGCCACGGCAGAGCTGGGGGGAAGGAGACCCTCTGGCCTGCAGAGAAGAAACCTTTATGACCTGGCCTTTTATGAAAATTTGCTGGAAACTCAGAAAACCCTTGATGTAGGGCTGAGCTGGCCAGCGTTTCCCCCACATTCCTCTGCAAACACCTTCAGAAGTAGGCCAGGCCTGACCATATGTATGTAAATGATATACAAAATCTTGAGGATACAGGGAGAGCTCCTTTAGAAGTTTATCCTTTCAGACTAAGACTTTTTTCCCTTTAGTCTTAAAATTCACAGCTTTAAAGTCAAATGGAGGGGCACCTGGGTGGTTCAGTCGGTTAAGCGACCGACTTCAGCTCAGGTCATGATTTCATTGTTCATGGGTTTGAGCCCTACGTTGGGTTCTGTGCTGGCAGCTCAGAGCCTGGAGCCGGTTTCAGATTCTGTGTCTCCCTCTCTTTCTGCCCCTCCCCCGCTCATTCTGTCTCTGTCTCAAAAATAAACTATAAAAAAAATTAAAAAAAAAAAAACTCAAGTAGAAAATGGAAAACCTCACAAGAGGGATGCTTTCCTCAGGATTTTTAAACCCAGCGTTTCTCAGAGTGCTACCCAGCATTCGGGCAAACGACTGCCACTGTGAGTCCGGTCACATGCTTCCCTCTAGGAAGTTCAGAGTGTGTTGCCCTTGATTCAGGATGTGGGAAGGGGGACGGTGGTACCAGGTAGCACACACCCACCTTACAAAGGAGAATTCGCATCCTTTACAATAGCTGCTTTTGTTTTTAAGGGCCACAGTAGGAGAGAAGGCGCAGGCTGGTCTCTGGCCCGAGCCGGCAAGCTCTTCTACAAGTAAGGAACCTGGGGGCCGAGGAGCCCACCCTGCGCATAGCTGGCCCAGGACACGGAGGGCTTACAGTGGCGCCAGGACACCGCGCTGGCCAGCTGCCTGTCGGAGACCAGTCCTCACGCTCAGGGCTGTTGTGCACAAGAATCGGTGCCGGTGTGACATTTTAAGTGTCCCCCAACCCCCTCCCCCACCAACCTGGTCAGGAAAATAGAGGAAAAACACCGAAAGTAACACCTTCCTGCTTTCTCGCCACGCTGCTGCTGTCCTAGTCCTCGTCTCGGTCAACGTGAGGTGCGGGAGGGAGGGAGGCAGCAAACCCCGAGAGAGCACTCGGGCTGGGCTCTCGCTCCTTAGATATTCTGGCCGCCGGCTCCTGTCTCCCGGCCCGCCTCTGGCTGCCCTGCGCGCCCTGCCCCGCCCCTCCCCTCCCCTCCCCGCCGGCAGGACTCCGGGCCGCGCCGTCTGCTGTCCCCAGTCCCCGGTACCCACCGTAGGGCGTCCCGCCGCCGCTGCTGTCGCCTCCGCCGCCCGCCAGCTGCGGGCTCTGCAGCGGGGCACCACTCGGCTGCTCCTGGCACACGTAGATGGTCAAGCGGGGCCGCACTGCCCTGCAAGCAGAGGAGGTGGCTCGTGAGCCCGGGAGAGGGCCGGGCAACTACAGCAATCTAAGCTCTACCTCCCTCCGCAGGGGGCTGTGCAGGAGGGTTTCGGTGCACAGGACGATTCACCAAGAAAGAGGTGAAAACACACGCCTCACACCAACCATCACAGGTCGTGGCATCTGATGATCTGGCCTCTAAACCACTGAGGTGACCTGTCAGATGCTGGCAAATTTAAGTTTCAAGATTCAGTCAGCAATTTAAAATCAGTAAGATTCACTCTCAGTGGAATTCTCACCCCACAAGTCTAGAAACAGCAATGATAGTGAAGGGGCCTTAAATGCCAGGACAATCTACAATTCCATCATTTCCAATCACAATGACAAGTTCACGTTTTCAGCAGCTCTTTGGCAGCAGTCACATGACCATGGAAAACGATACTCTGTGTCGCTCACCTAACGTCTGTTTTCTTGGCGACAAACCTTGTCATCCTCAAGAACTCAGTACTGCCCACGTGCACCCTAAGCCTTACAGTCTACCTGTGCCTGCACCGTATCCGGGTCTGCTTCCTGTGCACACGGCACACGCCAGCCCCCACCCCCTCTCGAGAGAAGGGTGCATCGGGATTTCAAGCAAACTGTTCCTTTTCAACACAGTATTTTACCTTGACTTCAGTGAATTATAGAGCCGAATGCCATCGGCTGCACCACAAATTTGTACTAAATCCTCCTTTGTCAGTTTTAATAAGTCGGCACCTGGAGAACAGCAAAGAGAGATTCTTCTCAAAGACGTGGAAAAAACAGGGTGGACTAGCCACTTGGCAGCATCTGTCTTCGGCAGTGACCTGCCCCTTGAGGCCGACACATCGCGGCCTCCTCCACGTGCCCACGTCTGCTAACTACGCAAACACAGAGTGAGCACACACAGCCCCTGTCCCAGAGAGCCAAAATCAAATGCTTCCGTGTTCTAGGAGCTCGGTTGGGGCACCTGGATGGCTCCATCGGTTAAGCATCCGACCTCGGCTCAGGTCATGACCTCACGTTGGAGCCCTGTGTCGGGCTCTGTCCTGATAGCTCGGAGCCTGCTTCGGATTCTCTGTCTCCCTCTCTCTGCCCCTCCCCTGGTCATGCTCAGTCTGTCTCTCTCTCTCTTTCAAAAAATAAACGTTAAAAAAAAAAAAAAAGAAGAAGGGGCCCGAAGGCGGGTGAATCAGATCAGGGAGCGTGGCCTACAGGATGGTCTGCTCCCAGCACCTGACTTGTACTACCTTGTTCTGGCTGTCTGGCAGGAGTGTGGATAAACAGGAGTCTGACCCCAGCTAATTAACCTTGAGATCACAATAATAATGTTTTACAAAATGAGGAAACGGAAGTCTAGAGTTTGGGGACCCACCCAGTCACTCAAGCTGGTAGCAGAGCTAGGACTCGGCCTCAACACGCAGGCCCCCTGCGGGAAGCGTGACTGTCCCGCAGCTGGTTTTACTACACATGCGTGGCACAGAACCGCACGTTATACCTGAGGAATTCCCCCACTGATTGTTGGTATGTGTGACATGGGAGATACAATTTGCCTTAAAATACGAGAGAGAAGGGGGAGAGTGAGGGGTCAGTGACCTGGAGGTCCATCATACTCTACTTTCTGTGCCTGAATGTGTCCATACTCTTGCTTCTCCTGGGCCCACAGCTGCGACCAGAGGTGCGCATGCATCTCCTTATGGTGCACACGGAACCTGGTGGCCACTCGTGTGCACAGACTTTTCCGGAGGTGAGTGCCCAGAGGCTCGGGGCTGGCAGCCCCACCCCCGTCCTTTGCCAGGAAGGTCCGGGGCAAGAAAAGGCAGGAGGCCGCGCCTGTGAGCGAGCGCTGCTCGCAGGGAAGAGAGCTTACAACCCTGCCCGCAGGAGCGGGGCACCTCCCGCAGTTCCCACCGCCAGAGCTGTCCGTGCTCTGCGCATCCTGTGTCTTCCTGGGAGGGCTCCAGGCTTTGTAAATTGCCAATTTCTCGCAGATAAAAAGCGTCGTCAGTAGTCCTGTAAACATGTGGTTATCAGCTAGCAAGACTTTCATCCAGGGGTGTAATTTTAAAGCGACAAAGAGCTGCCCGGGAACAACTGATCACTGCACGACACTGCAGTTAAGTGGCTGACAGAATGGGAGGACGGGTCCTTTGTGCCATCAAGCTTTCCCCGTGGCCAGGTTTGCACATGCGCAGTCCCGTCCTCTTCGAAGGTTCACGCCGTGTCTCCCTGGCCCCACGGTGCCACAGGCAAGGCAGGGTCACCACCAGGGTGCTGTGGGCCGGCAAGGCTCAGGGTGTTTAGCTCAGGGGTAAGGTAAAGGGTCCCAGGATCTGGGAGATGCTGCTCCCGCCCTGCGTGGCGTTATCTATGGGTGTCCCTCTAAACAGGCTTGCTGGAGCCCCACCTGGGGCAGCCCTGCATGGGGCAGCCCGGCTCGGCCCCTTCTAAGAGTCCGTCCGCACACCCCTCTGCACAGCTCACTCTGCACGGAGACACTGAGGTGTATGAAAACCATACCCGAGTGGATTCGTACCAGATACTCCTACACAGCAATGAGGAGGAATTAACTACTGATGGACACAACCACCTGGATGGACTCAAGTGCATTAGGCTGAGTGGGGGGGGAAAAGCCAACATCAAAAGGTCACATAAGCGTGATTCCATCTACATAATAACATTCTCAAAATGACAAAATCCAAGAGACAAAACAGACGAAGGACTGCCTGAGTCCGGGGGGCAGTGGGGAGGAGAGACTGCATACAGGAGAGCCTCTTGGGGATGGTGGAAGTCTCCTCATTTCCGTAGTGGTTACAGGAACACATGTGTGGTAAGATGACATGAACTAAACACAGACACCCATGCAATCTCCTGGTTTTGACTCATTCTATAATCATGTGAGAGACCGAGCGAAGGTACACAGAACATCTCTGTATGATTTTGGCAACTTACAGTAGGGAAAAAATTATTTCAAACTGAAGTTAGTAAGATGAATAACAACACACAGAACCATGTACTTCTGTATCAAAACGAAGGCTCGCCAGACGGGTGAGGCAGCGGGCTGAACGGATGTCAGTTTCCCGCAACAATAGGCAGTAGGATGGTACCACGGGCACTGCCGGGTGACAGGCACACGGGACTCCCCAGAACGCGGTTTGACAACTTCTTAGGAATCCAGAATTCAAGATTTTTGAAAAAAATTTTTTAAAAATGAAGGGCAATGGAAGTACAGAAACAAGTACAAAACACTGATGTACACACAAAACATACCTGAAAAATTGGAAAACAGTCTTGTGTAAGAAGAGAATCTGTTTTTGAGCAGCCATTGTTGTGTTTCCTGGATCGTGGCTGAAGGCTGAAGTTGCTATTAACAAAGGAAATGAACATAAACAGAAAAAACAAGCTTACAAAAGATAATCCAAGTCACTGGCATGTTATGAAGAACATTTACATAAAACACAGAAACCCTACAAGTTTAAAGTAAAAGGCGGCCCACGAGGAGCGTAGGTGTGACTGACACTCAGCAACCCAAACAGTGACTTGAGGCCCTGGAAGAGCCTTAGAAATGCAGGACCCTCGCAGCACCGGACAGGTTCAGGCCCAAGATACTTACTTCACTAGAGAGCTGTGACACTCCGTCTCCCTGATGATTTGGGGAAGAAGAATTGCTAGGGAGAACGGAAGGAAGGAAAGGAGGATTATTATCCACATAGATGTATATCAAGACATTAAAGGGTGAATTTAACCCAACATTTGGGACCGAGCATGTAGATCTGCAAATTAAGAATGTGGGCGCCGCTGGTCAGGGGGTGAGTGGGATGATGAAATTAAGATGGGAGATGCTTACTCTGCACCTCCTCCTCCTCCTCTGGCAGTTCTGGTAAGAACTTCAAGTTTTAAGAAACATGGTTTCCACGGGCACCAGGAAAATGAAGGCTACTCATTCATGTTAGTAAGGAAAAAATATGAGAAGCCAAGGTGAATAGTTTAAAACTCTCTCTCTCTCTCACACACACACACACACTTTACTAAGGAGCTACAACAAATCGTATAATGGTCCTAAGCCAAAATGGAAAATATCCCTTACTTAACACATTTATCCATGACTAAAGACGGGGACATCCAAAGCAGCGAAAGAACAAACGGGGGCCACTCTTGGCGGGTTTCTAAGGTAAAATGAAGAGGAAGACGACTCTGCAGAGGGTGGCACCTTCCTGTGTTCTGCCTCCTTTCTTAGCACCTGTCCTTCAGTCACTTCAGTTGTTTTTTTTGTTTGTTTGTTTTTTTAATGTGTATTTATTTTTGAGAGAAAGAGAGACACACAGTGAACAGGAGAGGGGCAGAGAGAGAGGGGGAGACACAGAATCGGAAGCAGCTCCACGCTCCGAGCTGTCAGCACAGAGCCGGACGAGGGGCTCGAACCCATGAACCATGAGATCGTGACCTGAGCTGAAGTTGGACACTTAACTGACTGGGCTGCCAGGCGCCCCAACAATCACTCCAGTTCCAGTGCCGCCTGGGGACTATCCTCCTGGACCCACTGGGATGGGGAAGGTGTGTGTCACTTGGAGAGCACGGCTTCTGGACAGTGAGGGAGCCCACAGCCCGCCTCCAAAGTCACGACCGTCCCACCGCCCAAGAGGACTTGGGACTGGGCTGTGACACGAGAAGGGCCCCCACACGGGGACGCAGCAGTCCCCGATCCCCCCGAAGTGCAGTCTCCCAGTGTGCCCCTGCCCCTACAGCACAGAAATCTACGAGCCATGCCGCCCACTGGTCCGCTCCCCTTTTTGCTGATCTTCCACCAAACCTGCCACAGACCGGGTGCTTGTGTTCCCTCAAAATGTGGATGTCGATCCCCACCCTCCCTGCATGACCGCACGAGGCGGCGGGGCCGCTGGGAGGTGACCGGGACAGCGAGGTCCCCCAGGCGTCCGCGCCACCGCATGAGGACACTGTCAGGCAGCAGCCGTGAGCTGGAAAGCCCCGGCCAGAACCGCCCCGACCCCACGCCTCCGGCTCCACGGCCGCAGGAAACGAGTTTCTGCGTCCCTAAGGCCCCGGGCCTGCTGTCTGTCACGGCGGGCAGGGCCCCGGTCCCTTGGGGTCTCCCGCAGCTTCCTTCCCAGCAGGTGCCTGCCGACAACAGGGGCCTCTGCGACGGAGCCCAGGGAGGGGGGCTCCGGGGGCACCTGCAGGACGCCCCCCCACCCCCCCAGGTTCACAGGCGCCACCGCGGCCAGCGAGGAAAACGGAACGAGCCTGCCACCTCCAGGCCTAGAACCACAGTAAGGTTTTACGCACGGAAAGCCGTTCCTTTAGTTTAAAGACTCACTGACGCACCAATAAACGTAGTGTGAGCAACAGGAGGGCTGCGGGGAGGGCAGAACGCGGCCCCCGCTGCGGGGCGCTCGGAGCACAACGTCTGCAGGCCCGTTTCGCCTCAGGAACTCACTGTCCTCCTGCACCCAGGAACCCCACTCATGTCCTTTCTCTCACCGAGAACGGCTCTGGAAGACGCCCCCCCTTCTACAATGTCCAGCTGGGAACGTGCGAGGCACCAGGGGGCAGGCACGAAGGGACAGTGCTCCCAGCAAACCGAGGCAGCGGGGCCCCCACGGCTACAGTCGCAGGTCCGGGTGGACGCGCGGGCGCCGCCGGCGGGGCAGGAGGGACCGAGGGGGCAGGCCCGGGCGGCCAGGGGCCATGCCGGCACGAAGCAGTACCTGTCCGGGACGCTGCACGTGCCCTGCTGCGGGGAGGTGAAGGCGGGCGCTGTGGAAGGGCTGCTATTCACGTAGGCTGTGGGGGTATCGGGCCACGGAGAGCACTAAGGACAGAAACAAAAATAAATTAGTGGGATGTGGGTAGAAGTACATGGAAGAAATATTTTTGTAAGTCACTCTCTAGTCTGGCCAAATGTGAGGTTATAAAACACAAGACACTGACACTCATCGAGGAACTTCACAGAAACAGATCAGTCCTTCCTTGCCACCTGCGTCTACACACAGAGTCATCACAGGGAAGGCCTGGAGTGAGGACGGCAGCAGAAACACACATGGGCGTTGTAATGCACGCTTAGGCACGGCCGGCTCGCGAGAGCTCGCACCTTCCTCTCTGGCAATGGTCTAACAGGTTCCTATCGAGGTTTAAGAGCAGCAGAGGCAAGGATGGATTCACAAGCGACATCCAACACGTGTGGTGACCAGGACGGTGGCTCTGTCCCCCTGGTGCTCCTCTGCCCTCTGCCCCCAGGAGCACCCTCACCAGCACCCCTGGGTGTCCTGTGCCTCCCTGACTCCTCCAGGACTAGTCATCCTCAAGCACCGCGCACAGGCCCAGCATCGAAACACACGAGCTGTGCACCGTGCTGCCTACGTCCTCTTACCCGTCTACACGTCACACGTGCTCAAAGCTTATGCTGTCTGGAAGGAACCACAGAACCAGGGCAGTTTTCAGTCCTAGGCACCATTCGGACCAAAGACGAAGACACAAAGACACACTATTAAGAGTAGGAGAGGTGGAAAGGCAAGTCAGAGGCGTGCTGAGCAGGTCAGGGCAACCGAACCTGAGCTCCGCCAGGAGTCCAAACCCGACTCCCTGATGTGCCATCTAGATCGCATCCGCGCGAGGACACCCCCATTTCCAGGCCCCCTTCCACATCACTCTTCTCCCATTTTACACAAAAAAGCCGTCCTGACTCACCATGGCCAGGGTACAGAAGACCCTCCCCCAAACAAAGCAAAAGACCGAAAGATATTAGGATGAGTAAAAAGTACACAATTCTAAATTCTGTGTATGTCAGGGAGTTTTCAAACCCCTGCCTTCAAAACCTTCAGGAAGACCTAATGTCAGCTGACACCTACTCCAGTAATCCACCAGGTCATAAAACTAGGTCACTGGGATTTGGGGCAACTGACTCAAAAGGAATTTCAAAACCTGAATGACACGGCTCAAAGAAAAGCAAGCACATCTAAAAGTTACTCGTCTCTATTAAAAAAAAAATCTAGAACATGACTGTGTTCCACCCTGTCTCGTCCTTCAAGATGCATTTCCAATACAGTTCTATTTTCATATTTAACTATTGTTCATTAAAATTTGTACAATTTGTTGTTTTGATAAACTGGTAACGACAAGAAGTAGCTGGCTGGCTCAGTCAGTAGAGCACCGGACTCTTGATCTCAGGGTCGTGCGTTCAAGCAGAGTTTACTTAAAAAAAACTTCTCAACTGACTTAAGAGCCTTATGGTCAGAGAAAATGTTTAATTTCAGTTTGAATAAGTCTGTCATAAAAAGTAACTAGGGTGATCATCCAAAGATTTTCAGGCCTAAGAGTTTGTCGTATTGGGATGAAATTATTTATGGTGAGTGGGAGAGATGCCAGATTAAGGAGGAGTGGGGTAAAATTTCAGACAGAACTACAGAGCATCATCAAGAACTTTTTATTTATTCGTAACATTTATTTATCTGAGAGAGAGCGCGCGAGCAGGAGCGGGGGAAGGGCAGACAGAAAGGGAGACACAGAATGGGAAGCAGGCTCCAGGCTCTGAGCCATTAGCGCAGAGCCTAATGTGGGGCTCAAACCCATGAACCGTGAGATCTGATGTGAGCCAAAGTCGGTTAATTAACCAACTGAGCCACCGAGGGGCCCCCATCATGAACTTTTTTAAATGAACAACAGTGGGTGTCCAAATGCTATGGTATTTAGATGTGGCGGGAGTCACTTCAAAAAGTGATGTCATAGCTTTATCTTAAATCAACTACCCATTATGTATCCCCTCAAAAATGGGAAAAATGACCAGTGTTTCAACTACTACCAGCTTTCAAACAGCAATCTAATGTGGCTGGACAGCACCACTAAACTTCCTGCAGGCGCTGACGTCCCTATGACCGGCCCTTCCCACGGCAGTGCCCACTCCTCTGACACCAGCGCCTCGCTCCTCTTTCCATGTGACAGCGACGCCTCCTCACCTTGCAGTCTGAGGAGCCCACTGGCAGCTCTGGTAGCTCCTGGCTGCCCCATGCCCAGCGCCCTCTCCACGGCCTGGAAGACGGTTCTCCTGCTACACCGCACACTATTATGATGCAGCATAACAGGCACGTCTAAACAAGGTAGGCCTGTCAGAGCGAGCCCCCCCAAATGTGCCGCCACTCACGGCCAGCCATCTGAGGAAATGAAGCCATCAACGGCTTCAAGTGAACATGCCCAGTAATACGGCAGGGACGCCAAAATGACGGATCCGCCATGAACACACGTTTCACTTTCACACAACTGGATCCCTTTAACAGGAGAAAAGCAGGGCTGCTAAGAGCTGACATCGAAAACTTGCCGAATAAGTAGGAGGCTTGACTCACTCAGCACCAGGAAACCAGGGAAAACTGGGCCTGGTGGGAGACCTCGACTTTCAGAAAATAGCAGGTGCCGAGTTCTTCACTGGCCAGGCTGGACGAAACAGCAAGGCCTGCTCCGGGGTATTTTATAGGTTTCTCCTACAGTTTCAACTCAAGATTTACAGTGTTCCTTCTAGCCCGTCATGCCTCCCTGTCTTCAAACGATGGGGGTAGCTGGGGGTGGGAGGGCGCCTGGCTGCCCTCAGTTAGTAGAGCAGGCAACTCTTGGTTTCGGCACCCCATGCTGGGGGTAGAGATGACTCAAAACTAATTAAAATAAAAAATAAATAAAAAATAAAAGTAAGCGGGCACCTGGGTGGCTCAGTCGGTTGAGCATCTGACTTAGGCTCAGGTCATCTCACAATTCATGAGTTCTAGCCCCACATCAGGCTCTGTACTGACAGCTCGGAGCCTGGAGCCTGCTTCCAATTCTGTGTGTGTGCGCGCGTGTGTCTCTCTCTCTCTGCCCCTCCCCCACTCACACTCTGTCTCTCTCAAAAATAAACATTAAAAAAAATTTTTTTTAATAAAAAATAAAAGCAAGCAACGGTGCAGTGCCTAGGTTCCTGAGGGAAGTCTGTAATTCATTATGACTCCAGCGGTATCTGGCGTGGACTGGTGTGGGCACACTGTGAACAAAGTCCCTCCCCAGGTAGACTGAAAATGCCGACCCATTTAGACCGCAGAAACTGGCAGCACTGACTGGAGCCAGTAAAATACAGCTCAGAGGCAAAGACCAACGACAGACACGTTAGGGCGGTTGTAGTGCAGCGGCTCTCTGGAGCCAGCAGCCGGGCCTGCAGCAAGCGTGGGACCATGTCACACAGCACCTGGTGACAGGGAAGCCTCACCTCCTTCCCTAGCGAGGGCCAACCGTCAGGACCCAACAGCTGTACGAAATGCCGGCCTTCCTCTGTAGGCACTTGCAGAAATCTGTGCGATGCTGTGGACTTTCGTACAGGGATTAATCTGTGCCTTGCTTTCCTTACACAGGCTTCAAAGAGGAGCTCTAACCACCCCCTACAAGTATCTTACCCAAACTAACTACAGCCGAGGGCAGCAAGCAACACACTCTAGGAAGATGTGAAATCCCAGGCCAGTGAACTGCTGACGTTTTGCATACTTTAGACTTGAGTTAAGAATCATTAATAATTTATCAACAATTCTACCATTTCCAGATTAGCTCTAGACTATAATAGATTTAATTTATGAGTCATGAGAATGCATTCTTTTTAATTTAATAGTTTCTAACAAGAAAGGGAAAGTGACGTGAGTTACTAGGATCTCCCCAGAAAAGTTTGCTAAGAACTATCTGTGAGTCCTCAGCTGGAAATGAGAAGAGGACTAAGAAATATAAAACCAAAGGGGGCCCCTGTGGGGGAGGGAGCATACAGTTGTTCCATCCATACAACCTCGGATCCACATCAAAAAATGCAGTAGGTGTGCTCCCCATCGAGAGGTCCACACCGTCCACTTTACTGCACAAAGAAGCACTGAAAATCTTTTCGCTCAATGCCTTCATCTGGAAAGGACGTTCTTGTGACAGGGCCCGTGACTTTCATATTTTACAGAGCATTACACATACATGTGTAAGAGTGAAAATTTCATGTCTGGCACCTTGATTTTACAAACACTGCCATGATGAACAGAGTAGCCATGAATACAGATGATGCCAGTTACTTTGAAAAATTACTGAATGCTCTGTGTTTCCATTTCCTGTGGGTACCTGGTGATCTAACCATAAATAGCAAGAGAGTCCTCTGTGTGCTGTTAGATGAAGAGCTGTGTCGTAAAATACAGACAGGCTGCATTTACGGGGACAAAGCCCAAACCCTGCACTGCATGTGGGGAGAACCGGGTCTGAGTGCAGCGAGGTGCACCGCTGTGGCCCGCAGCATAAAGTCATGATGCAGGAGCCAAGAGGAAACACTGACGCGAAGATTTTTTTTCTACCAGTGCTGCCAAACAGGCTTTTAAAAGCACAGACAGACACACATCCTTCTACTACATGCAGGGAAATGTGACACAAAGTATTGCATGTTAACGTCAAGCTTGCTGCCATCATTTCTCTAGAGATCTGTTGCATTTTCTTATCAGTTATACACACGAGAAAGCAAAACCGTTTTTAATTACACAAAAATGATAATTATTTTACTAATGAAAGTACTTTCAATGAATTTTAATGCTCTTTGAAGGAAGTGTGTGTGCAAAGGAGAGGGAGGGAGGGAGGAAGGGACGGAGAAAGGGAGGGAACACATTTCTGAGTGTTGATTTTCCTTCCAAAACCACCCAATATGGCCAACTTTTGTTTTAAAGTGTTAGATTTAGGAAATTTTCCTCAGTGAGGAACAAACAGAAAGCGGGAAGTCTAAAAAGCAAATTAAATCAAGACAAGGACATCAAAAACAAATTTGGCTTTACTTTTCAGTGGAAGTTGGTCCTATATCTAACACTGCACAAGGTTTCTTGCACAATGAAAAGAGAAGCAGAAGGCCCTTACACTGCCTCGCTTTGCCAGAGAATCACCGTAGTCTGCTGGCAAAGTCCGCTTGCTGGACTTTTTCTGCTCATGTTCAACTGCATCTTCAATTATAGGCTCAAGCCTCATCTGGACAAACACCAAAGATTGGGATCAATGTCTTTTCATTATACAAAGAAAGATCTAATACCCTGTTTTATGTCTCTGCAGTCCAATTAAATAAACGTTATGACTGGCAGGATTCAAAGTTAAAGAAAATGCAAAACCCCAGCAGTGACAAAAATCAGACATTCTAGGCCCCAACTTAAGCTCTTGCCAACTTCAAGGTCGGTAAGGTCTGCTTCTGAGACCTGATTGGGATTTCAGCATCTTCATTCAAGACCCCACCCAGGAAACTAATCTATTAAAATCCCCAAATTTAAATATATCCCCCACAAGTTTCACAAAGAACATTATGCCAATCTACCACCCAATCTCCCCCAACCCTCTGGAGTGAAACTCCTCCTCAGAGGGGGTGCTACTGTGCAAACCGCTGCGTGTTCTCTCCGGAACCCGAAACGCTGCCGCGTTACCTCTGTGAGGATGGTGGTGTCGTAAGACGGCTGGTACTTCTCTTTCTCATGAGCGGTTCTCTTCTCCATCTTCTCTCGGTCAGTCTTTTGTTTCCTGTCTGCACCTTTAGGCTTAAACACAGAGCAGATGATTTCGTGCAGCAGGCCGAAGACGGCAAGTTCACAAGCAAAGCTGGGACTCAGTTATCACTAAGCGCGTCGTTTCGACCTCTCACCTTAAACACTTTGATCTGGCAGCTAGCTGAGTGCAGGTGGTCCGTGTACTCTCCGTTTTCATTCTGCTTAAAGGTGTCCACCTGGATCCTGAAAGGCACCCCCTTCTCGCCGCCGTGCTTCCGGGGAGTAAACTCGGTGCTGATGCAGTGTACCTGGGAAACAGCTCACGCTGAAAGGGACTCAAAGCACCGTCTACCGAGTCCCCTTCTACTTTACTCCTCAGACGTCCTGCCACAGCCAGAAATTCAACACCTTTTCAAACCAACCCCTGCACATTAGCCGGATGGCGGTCATGAACTTCTCTGTACGGCTTTCCTTTCACAAATCCAACTGGGCTATGCTGAGCTGCCTGGCAACGAGCTCTTCCCCAGTCCAACGCCTCCTCTCCTCTAACACAGGCCTCTTTCCAATCACTGTAGTCTCCTACCCCCGCTCTGGGTCCTCTGCCTTGCACACATCCCTGTTGAGAGCCTGCTGTCCACCCTCTCCTGCCACCTCGTCACCTACTGCTGTGCCTACACACCCGGGCTGTGGCCACCTTCCCCAAAGCCCACTACTCACCCTGCCTGTGTGATCTAAACTCTGGTGTCGGCCTTCAAAGTTCACCGAGGACAATGCTCATTTCCCACCACTCCTACAATATTGGCTAACATGAACCACGTGCCCAGTGATTATTAGTTGCTGGGAGATAATGTTTGGCAGACCACAAAAACATAAAATACTAAGGATTCTTTACAGTTCCCACAAATCAGAGCCTACTTAGGCTGATCAACAATTAAGCAATTTCCCTTTCTACATAAAGATGATCCAGCTCAGCAGTTTTAATGACACCACTTACAAACTTGAACATACGGGGTATAAAAATTACTACTGAGTATATTTTACACATTATACTTACGGTTTTAAAAAACTCATCTCTTAGGGATACAAACTGGATATTTATGGGCGAGATGAAATGCCTGGGAGTTGCTCTGAAGTACTCCATCAATAACAAAAACTGGGGAAACTACTAACAACTGCTGAAGCCAGGTGATGGGTATATTAAGGATTTACTATTCTTCTTTTTCTTACTTTGGTGGGGGTTTGATATTTTCAATATTAGAAGGTCTTTAAACAATGGTAGAGGGAATCTTGAAACTACTTTTTCAAATTCACTCTTATTTTTTTCATTTTCTTAAGTCAACTCTACACCCAATGGGAGACTTCAACTCACAACCCCAAAATCAAGAGTCACGTGCTCTATGGACTGAGCCAGCCAGGCGCCCAATCCTACCCTTTTAAACAGCAGGTTTTGGGGGCACCTGGGTGGCTCAGTTGGTTAAGCATCCGAGTGCTGGTTTCGGCTCAGGTCATTATCTTGTGATTTGTGAGCATGAGTCCCAAGTTAGGCTCTGTGCTCACAGTGCAGACAGAGCCTGCTTAGGATTCTGTTTCCCTCTCTCGCTGCCCCTCCGCCACTTGCACTCTCTCTCTCAAAATAAATAAAAATAACCTTTAAAAAAAAGCAGCTTTTGTTTTAGAGAAATGTGTCTTGGGAAAAATAGATGTCATTATTATCACCAATGGTAAAGGTAATATTTGAGTAACAGGTTGGTCTATAAATGACAGATTCAGCAGATTAACTCCAACTTAACTTTATATACATACGTAGTTATGCATCTGTAAATGTAAAAATATATACATAGGAGACATTACAAGATTGTTTGCAAACAAGCACTTAAGGAAGAGGACACCGTGCGTCAAGAATTCAAGATCACCCGTGGCCCGTTAGGGGACTAGGTTAGCATGGTTCTAACAACGTAAAACTCCAAACCTGAATGAAAGCAGATGTGCGCTTTGCAGGGTCCCACAGAAATTCCACCGCGTTTAACTGGCTTGGATTTGTCCTTGTGTCAATTATTCCCACAGACATTGGAATATCTATATTTGAAACAGAAATTACACAGAAACTCATCTGCTACAAAGAATCAAAAAGCTTACAACTTAGCCTTTTCCTCCCCTGTTCCCATGGACAACCCCGCTAACACCAGAGCCCACCCAATGTGCGCGACACTTCCTCCACCACAGTTTCCATGTCCGTTCATTCAACGGCTGATGGATGCGCCAATCGAGAATTCAGTAAATGGCTAAAAACTCAAAATTCCTGGCTCAGGTCCTTTTAGCACCAAATACCCACTGTGTTTCTGACCGCAGAACAACTCAAGGCACACGGGACCCACTAACACCCAAACTCTCTCGACGCGATCGCACATGGGGCCAACACGGCAACATGCACGGCTAACCGCCTGGCGTCACCTCTCCAGAGTCTTCTGCAGCCGCTCGTACCTAAATCGAGAAGTCTGTCCCCCGGACGATTCCACTTCCAGCCTTCAAGTTGCTGATGCTCGGTGTACTGCAGCCGTCTGTCGTGGAACACGACCCTTATGATGCTCTACGGAATGGGCGGGGAAGGCGAGAGCGTTACACTAGGCCAGCTCACCTGCAGAAGCGCTGTCACTTCTCGTGCAACAGCCTCTAATAGAGGGTGTACCAAAAGAACTTCTGCTTTAAGCATTTTCTAAGTGGACTGCTTTGTTCTTAGAATATGTGGATTGTGGGTATAATTATCCAGGGCAAAGAATTACAACTCGGAAATAAAAAGCACAAATAAAATGATTACTTAGGCAAAATTTTTATTTAAAAATTTGCCATTGCAATTCAGAATTAAGGTACACACTCATAAAATCAGAGAGCAAGAATTCGACTTCTATGAAGAAAGCACCAGATGCTCATGGTAATTACAAAAGTGAAAGGGCAGTATAAGCAGACAGAAACCCAGGCACAACGGTGAAACTATTTAAAATAATAGTTAATAGGGGTGCCTGGGTGGCTTAGTCGGTTACGCGTCTGACTTTCGCTTAGGTCATGATCTCGCGGTTCGTGGGTTCGAGCCCCGCGTCGGGCTCTGTGCTGACTGCCAGCTCAGAGCCTGGAGCCTGTTTCAGTCTGTGACTCCCTCTCTCTCTGACCCTCCCCTGCTCACGCTGTCTCTCTCTCTCTCTCTCCTAGAAATAAATAAAAATATTTTTAAAAAATAATAATAGTTAATAACTGAGTTTTTTATAGTCAAAGTAATACACAGAAATACTGAATCACTATACTGTACAACTGAAATGAATAGAACACTTCATGTTACTTATATTTCAATAAAATGAAAAAATAAAAGAGAGTCAAGGAACGGGGGGAGAATCTGCCTACACTCACCAAAAAAAGAACACGTATCATTCTCTACTATTTTACTTCCAAGAGGTTATCTGAGGTAAGCGGGAAGGGGGGAAGGGCGGGCGGGGGGTGACCCACAGGTAAACTTTATCCCAACACTCCAGTTCCGGTTCTAGGGAAGACCTTACTCCACACGCTCGAGGCCAGCTCTCTGCCCCCACCCATCCCTCCTTCACCACCCACACGATTCAGGGGCCAACTACTGTTTGGTTCCAGAAACAGGAAAACAGGTCATCCAAACGTCTTCAGATACCAGACTTACACTAGTTAACGTTTCTGACACATTTATAAGTAACTTTCTCATGATGCAACAACATGATCGTATTCAGCATGGGGGTTAGAAGGCACTGAATCCTCACACAAGTCCAAATCCACGTAGAACCTTGGACTCCCCCAAAACTTAACTACTTCATAGCTTACCATTGACCAGTTTACTGATACATCAACAGTTGAATAACAACAATAACAACTGAGTAACAACTTGTAAATGGATCCGTACAGTTCAAACACTCGTTGTTCAAGGGTCAACTGTAGTTTAAAAAGAGTCCAAAAAAGTCATTCGGACCGAAGTGGAAATCCATACAGGCACAGTGAGCACGCTGACTCATGCCCGCCTGCCTCCCACATCTGCAGGGCCTGCCCAGGCGGTCTACCAGCACCCACTTCACACCACCACCCGCCGGCAGCAAAAACTTCACAGTGAAGGTGCACAGGCTAGCGGGGGCCTTGGGTCACATTTACCAACAGATTGAGCTCAAAATAAAGGGCAGCACAGAAATGTCATGATTTTCATTCTTCCATTCTTCACAAATTCAGGTGAAAATAGTGTGAGAATATAGGTATCAGCTTTAATACTAAAGAATATTAAAAGAGAACCAGAGCTGACAAGTGGCAATGTATTTAAGACTTAAAGTGGGCTTCAGGGGGGCTCAGTCAGTTGAGCATCTGACTTCAGCTCAGGTCATGATCTCGTGGTTTGCGAGTTCTAGCACTGCATCGGGCTCTGTGCGGACAGCTAGCTCAGAGCCTGGAGCCTGCTTCAGATTCTATGTCTCCCTCTCTCTCTGACCTTCCCTGCTTGTGCTCTGTGTCTCTCAAAAATAAACATTAAGAAATAATAATAAAAACAAAGAAAACTTAAAAACATTTAAATGAAATTCAAAGGGAAAAAAAGTAAGGCAGCAAGAGACCAGCCACGGAGAGCCAGCAGGGAAGAGAGGCCCTAACATAAAAGCAGGCAAAGCAAGCACATCATCGAGGGTATTAGGCACTGTCAACAAGTTCCAAAGCACCTCTGACGACCCAGCATTTGTTCCCCAAGACTCCCCCGCCACGGCAAAGTCAAAGATCAAGGAGCCAGGAAGTTAGACACTAGATTGCAGCAGAATACTTCAGGGATATTGCAATAAAAAAGGATGTGATGTTTTTAAGAAATTCACCGTGCAGTCTTTGGCAATAGCAGACTGTTGCTCTGAACCCCAGGCAAGCTCTCAAGCTCTAACTGGATGCATCCTGGCACAGCCGCCAAATATCAGATGTGTGGCTTATCGAGTGGAAGATGAAATGGATTTAAGACTTTTTCAATTTTTTCTTTAATGTTTATTTTTGAGAGAGAGTGAGCGAGTGAGGGAGCAGGGGAGGGGCAGGGAGAGAGGGAGACACAGAATCGGAAGCAGGCTCCAGGCTCTGAGCTGTTAGCACAGAGCCTCACGCGGGGCACGAACTCATAAGCGGTGAGATCATGACCTAGGCTAAAGTCAGACGCTTAACAGACTGAGCCACCCAGGTGTCCCAAGACCTTTTCAAACTTAACCCTTCCAATCTGTAAGCTAACTGTTCAGGGAAACTGATGCTTTTGAAATAAGTACCCTTGTCACTAGAAATTTACCCAAGGGATACAGGAGTGCTGATGCATAGGCGCACATGTACCCCACTGTTTATAGCAGTGCTTTCAACAATAGCCAAATTATGGAAAGAGCCTAAGTGTCCATCAACAGACGAATGGATCAAGAAGATGTGGCTTATCTATACAATGGAACACTACTTGGCAATGAGAAAGAATGAAATCCTGCCATTTGCAGCAATGTGGACGGAACTGGAAGGTGTTATGCTGAGTGAAATAAGTCAGTCAGAGAAGGACAGATACCATATGTTTTCACTCATATGTGGATCCCGAGACACTTACAGAAGACCATGGGGGAAGGAAAGGGGAAAAATTGTTACAAACAGAGGGAGGGAGGCAAACCATAAGAGACACTTAAATATAGAGAACAGACTGAGGGTGGACAGGGGGGTGGGGGAGAGGAGAAAATGGGTGATGGGCATGGAGCAGGGCACTGGGTGTTGTATCGAAGTGATGAACCATGGGAATCTACCCTTGAAACCAAGAGCGCACTGTACACACTGTACATTAGCCAACTTAATAAATTATATTAAAACAAAAAGCACCCTTGTCTAGGAAGAATATGCCTGTTTAATGTCAGCAAAACATCCACTCTGCACTTAGAGTGGATGGTTTCTCTACTGTCGACACTTCACTTATCTCCCAGTGAAGAGATGTTTTTGCCTTAATTTCTTAACTTGCGTTAATCTTGTGTATTGGATGCTTTTACATATTTTAGTTTGGAACTAAATCCAAGAAGCAGAACTTAAAGCAATCAAGCAACAACTTAATTGACCCTGCCATTTCGAGTTAAGCTGACAGGTATTTTCAACAAGCTTACCACGGGCGCCTGTGGTACACATGTTTATCAGGACCACCACGTGGTCAACACACGTGGATGTATCATCATACCACTCGACCTCTGGATTAGGTTTAAATCTTACCATACAAGTTGTCTTTGAGTAATGTCCTAACGTGTTTGGATCCAGTTTTAAGGCTCTCAATACAGGGCATATAATGCCTTACTTCATTCTGTATAGAAATCTACAATTTAAACAACTTTTCAACACTTTCACATTGATTTTTTACATTTTTTTTATGTTTTATTTATTTCTAGGAGAGAGAGAGAGAGAGACAGCGTGAGCAGGGGAGGGTCAGAGAGAGAGGGAGTGACAGACTCTGAAACAGGCTCCAGGCTCTGAGCTGGCAGTCAGCACAGAGCCTGACACGGGGCTCGAACCCACAAACCGCAAGATCATGACGTAAGCGAAAGTCGGACGCTTAACCGACTAAGCCACCCAGGCGTCCCTAATTTTTTTTTTAAACCAGCATCTGAGAGTCATCAAATGTAATTTGCACAGTGACAGAAGAGTTCATCCACATCTTCCCTTAAACTATATAATACTGATTGGATTTTAACTGGGTATATGATACAATTGGCAGATCTGCCTGAAGGTGAGCCAGGGTGCCCGATGGCCTCACAACAAGCCCGCCTGTGACCAGGGAACCCCGCGCAAGTCTCTGACATTTCTAAGCTTCCTACACACTAGAAAATGAGAGCTGGGTGTCTGACCTGATTCGCTCTCCAGGGAAATGACCAAACGCACAGCCCCTGGGAGTCAAAAGCCTGGGAACTCATTCCAAGTTGGCAAGACAACTGACTGGTGGAGAGCAGACACCCATCTGTTTCCTTCAACCTCCCAAAGGACTGGGGTCCTCCTGCCCCCAGGAGTGGGAGAAGCACTAAAACAGCCCAAAGATGCTCCACCTGCAGGTGTTGGGCACCCGGCTCTCCCGGATAGGCCCAAGCTGCCTGCCCCGCAGATCTGTCCCCCAAAGGCAGATCCCCAGGGGGGAGTGTTTCCAATGGGACACCTTTCTGAAGTGCCCAGGCCCCCGAATGCCTCCCTGTGGGAAGATGGAAGCGTCAAGAGAACAAAGGCCTGCTTCTCTCATGCTAACACTTCACCCTATGGCTGTTCTGACTTCCCTCAAGATTCTTCCAGAAGTCCTGCCCTGTAATGCTATCGAGTTTGTAGCACCCCATTCTGTGTGACGGGCAGAGGCCAGGCCACCCTGCTGGACACTGGAGGGAACAGGATGGTTCTGAAGATTGAGCCTCAAAGGAAGGGCCCAGCCAGCCGACCGCCACGCCTCCTGGCCCCGGACGGCCTGCCTGCCTTCATTCGGGCACATCGGGCATGGATGCAGGGGGTGCAGAGACTTCCAATCTCACTTGGCGAATTTTTAAGAGGTGAAATAAAAGGATTTTAAAAGTTTCATATTAACTAACATTTCGCCCCAAATTATTCTTTTACTTTTAAAGGAACAACTTGAAGTCTTTGCTCTGGCGGTAGGTTTTCCCCCACAGCTGCGACTGCGGTGCCTCGGTGTCCACAGGGCCATCACACTCGCTTCACCCAGGGACTGCTATCATTTCCGTTTTGTAGAAAAGTAAACAGAACACAGTTCAAAATTTCAGGAGTTCCAATACAGCCATCACTTCTTCAAGTGAAATTCGGTAATTGTAAAATAAAAACGCTTGTGCAAAAAACCTAAAACTTCTATGTCAAACCTGCTACTTTTTTCAGTCATTGCCATCAGCACCGGTCAGGAGTGAAAATGGACCATCCTTACCTTTACCAATTTTCCAGTAATCTCTGGCATGTCTCCCATTTTCCGATTATCCAGCATCCGAATTTCGTAAGACTGACCTATTTTAAAGAGATTGTTGAATTTAAAGAAACTGTATCACAAGCAGACCACAAAAAGAACATCACTGTTCAACATAAAAAGTCAATGGTCTCTCAACCAGAGAAGCAATCTTTTGATCTTTTTTTCCTACAAACCACACCACCCTTTCCTTCATACACGATTACAGAATGAAGAGTTTCTGACAATATTTGCTACGCTCTCACATTAAATTTTTATTATACATACATGCATAATCCAAGAGCGATTTCTGATCACAGCTTTATTGAGATGTAATTTACATACCACAGAATTCATCCTTGTAAAAACTGACAGTGTTTAGTATATTCGGAATTCTAACACCGTCACCACGCCCAACTCTGAGCATTCTCCTCACCCCAGAAAGAAAACCGTGCCTTCAGGAGTCAGGTCGACGCTCACACACACACCCCCACACACCCCCACACACACCACCACCACCACCACCACCCTGCAACCACCATCAACTTATTTCCTATCTCCAGGAAGCTGCCTGGCTCAGCCCAACATAAACAGAGCCACGCAGAGTGTAAGGGACCGGCTCCTGCCAGCACGCATGTTTCCAGGCTCTGGCACATTGCCGCAGTGTGACCCAGACAATCTGGTGTCGCACTCTGCTCCACTGCCCTCTGTAGGCACCGCGGGTTCCGTAACTGGAGGTTTGCAGCAGCCCTGCATCAAGCAAGGCTATGGGTGCCATTCTTCCAACAGCACCTGCTCCCACTGGGTCTGTCACATCTTGTGAGATCATGACCTGAGTCGAAGTCGCAAGCTTAACTGACTGTGCCTCCCAGGTGCCCCTGGGTCTGTCAGGTCTTGTAATTCTCACAATGTTTCAAACTTTTTCATCATCATTATATTTGCTATGGTGAATCGTGCTCAGTCATTTAACCCAGTTTTTAGCAATAAAGCATTTTTTAAAAAGTTTATTTCTTTTGAGAGGAAAAAGAGAGAGCAGGGGAGGGGGAAAGAGGGAGGGAGAGAGATTCCCGAGCAGGTTCTGCACTATGAGTGTGGAACCCGATGTGGGTCTCGAACTCACGAACTGTGAGATCCTAAATGAGTTGAAATCAAGAGTCAGGTTCTTGACTAACCAACTGGACCTCCCAGGTGCCCCGGCAATAAAGTATTTCTTTTTTTTTTCTTTTAATTTTAATATATATTTTTTTATTTATTTCTAGGAGAGAGAGAGAGAGAGAGACAGCATGAGCAGGGGAGGGTCAGAGAGAGAGGGAGTCACAGACTGAAACAGGCTCCAGGCTCTGAGCTGGCAGTCAGCACAGAGCCCGACGCGGGGCTCGAACCCACAAACCGCGAGATCATGACCTAAGCGAAAGTCGGATGCTTAACCGACGAAGCCACCCAGGCGCCCCAAAGTATTTCTTAACTAAGACATATACATTGTTATTGCACACTGAACAGACTACAGGATGGTGCAGAGAGAACTTTTATGTGCACTGAAAAGCGGAAGAACTCATTTGACTCACTTCACTGCAGTATTCCCTTGACTGCGCTGGGCTGGAATAGAACCGGCACCATCTCTGAGGTGTGCCCGCACTCCATCCCTTTTTACTGCACATATTCCACCACAACAACATGCCACATTTTGTTCATCCATTCACTAGCTGATGGGCATCTGGTTGTTTCTCCTCCTTGGCCATTACAAATAATGGTACTATGAACATGTGTTCTGTGTTTTGTGCAAGCCAAGACCAAATTTGAATCCTAGAACCTTCCTCCTTATGACCAATGAGCCCAACTCACATTCTCCCACTGTTCGGTGTCCATAGGAAAACATAAACAGATACTGACGCACCAACCTATATCATTAGGAAGAGAAGCTGCTGCCAAAAGAATGTACTCCAAAGCCACAAAAATGATTTCTGAATTATCTGTCATTAAGTAATAAAAACGACAGTATAATTTGATATGCAGAAAATGAAGAGTAATTAAGGAGTGCTTATAGGGGTGCCTGGGTGGCTCAGGGAGTTAAGTGCCCGACTATTGATTTCAACTCAGGTCACAATCTCATGGTTCGTGGGATCAAGCCACCTTGTGCTCTGTGCTGACAGTGCAGGGCCTGCTTGGGATCCTTTCTCTCCCTCTCTCTCTGCCCACCCCTACTCACTCATGCTCCCTCTCAAACTAAATAAATCTACTTGAAAAAAAAAAAAAAAGAGTGCATCTAGTATATGTCATATTAAGTTGAGGATATTTATGATCTAGTCCACACTCCAATGGAGCACACCCACATTGGGTTGCACGCTCATAAAAATATACAAAAGGAACTAGATCACCTGGTCAAAATACAACAAAAGGTTATTAAGTTACAATCAAATCACTGGAAGGCTGGTGCAGGAAAACCATGATATACAGTATGTTACTAAGCAAGAGTCCTTAAGTCCTTCAACAGATTGAGAGATTAACACTAAATAATACTACGGCAAGAGACAGGTTTTAAAAGTTAAATTTGCAGCATACTTAACAATGGATCTACACTCAGAAAACAGTAAGAAATAAATTGTAAAATAAAGCATACAGATAGGTATTTTTGAAAACTATACCGGTATAAATTTAAAATTACACTCACCCTCTCAAAAATTTAGGCAAATTAACAAAATGTTTGTGTTAATTATCAGATTAACCAAAAAAATGTTTAATTAACAACCAAGTAGGGGCGTCTGGGTGACTCAGTCGGTTGAGTGTCCGGCTTCGGCTCAGGTCATGGTCTCACGGTTCATGGGTTCGAGCCCCGTGTCGGGCTCTGTGCTGACAGCTCAGCCTGCTTTAGATTCTGTGTCTCCCTCTCTCTCTGACCCTCCCCTGCTCACAGTGTCTCTCTCTCTCTCTCAGACATAAATTAAAAAAAAAAAAAAAAAAAGGTGAGGATGGGGGAGAAGTAACCTGCCACAGAGGAAGGGAAAACTTGTCCTGCCAGGATTATCTCATGATCCTCAAAATCTCAAAATTCTCAGCATTGAAAAAAAATCAAACACGGCGCCTGAGTGGCTCAGTCAGTTAAGCCTCTGACTCTTGGTTTACCCTCAGGTCTTGATCTTAGTTTCCTGAGTTCGGGCCCCTTAGGTGACTCTGTGGTGGCGGCGAGGAGCCTGCTTGGGATTCTCTCTCTCCCACTCCCTCTACCCCTCCCTGGCTCATGCTGTCTCTGTCTCTCAAAATAAATAAACTTAAAAAAAATCAAATAAGGATGAAATTTCAGTGTTCCTGTCTTCCTTTGTATTATTTTTCCTAGTCAACCTAACGAGGATACCTCTGTGCTCAATATAAGGTTCAATGTTTTCACAAACCAATTTCAGGATTTGTTGCACCTGTATTAAAGCACTGTAGATTTCTATTCTTCTAAAATCAAAAGTGTTTTTTATTTTAAAAAAAGGCTCTGTAACAACTGCTATTCTTCACATGGTTTCCCTGTGGGCACCTGGCTGGCTAAGCAGGTAAAGCATGTGACTTCTGATCTCAGGATTGTGAGTTCGAACCCCATGTTGGGTGTAGATTACTTAAAAATAAAATCTTTGAAAAAGAGAAAAAATTGGTTTCCCTCCTGGGAACTATGTGTGCCCTAGCCTTTTCCCTCCTTCAGTCTTATCCCAACTCACTATACAGAAATCCTTCTTTACCAACAAGTTTCTTCGATATTCATTGAGTTAACAACCAGGCCTTCATTGGTTTGATTTCTTCTTCTATTTGATCCCCTCCCATAAATCTCTTAATAACGTAGTTTCAGAAAGATGTCTAGGTTTTAACTGAAATATAAAGACGACTCCGGTATCAATGTTACAGTTAACATAAGAGCTCTACTCTGACTTGCTAGTCCTAATTTTTTTATTCTTTTAAACTTTGTAAAAAATCTCTATTTATTTATTTTTGAGAGCATGCATGCACGCATGTGAAAGAGCAGGGGAAGGGCGAAGAGGGAGATGAGAGGATCCCAAGCAGGCTCTGCGCTGTCAGCACAAGGCCCAGTGTGGGGCTCAAACCCACAATCCGTGAGACCATGACGTGAGCTGAAATCAAGAGTCAGACACTGAGTCAACAGAGCCACCAAGCACCCACTGGTCCTGTTTCCAACTTTCTATTCTGAAGTTAACTTTCATGTTTTGACTTTTTTAAAAGTATTTTTATTGAGAGAGAAGGCGAGTGCGCGTAAGAGAAGGGGAGGGGCAGAGAGAGAAGGAGACAGAGAATCCCAAGCAGGCACTGCACTGTCAGCACCGAGCCCCACGCAGGGCTCAATCTCAAGAACCATGAGACCATGACTTGAGACAAAACCAAGAGTGAGAGGTTTAACCTACGAAGCCACCCAGGCGCCCTTGAAGTCTGGACTTTTTATTCCTTTTCTGGCTTACAAATGCAAAAGCACTGACAGAACTGAAAACTATAATTGTTTTGAGTTCACATCTCTACCCAGTCTAGCTTCCTTGGATGGACTCTAGAGCAACATGGAGCCCAAGCTGTGACAGTCCCCATGGCTAAGTTCAAAGAATTTATTTCTAAAGGCCTAATAGAGAACTTTACTCTGTAACAAGAACCACAGCTAACTTCAAGGAAATGTACAGTTGTAGAGTGAAATTAACAAGAAATATATTCTTCTTTGAAACTTAAAAAAATTTTTTAAAAATATTTATTTATTATTGAGAGACAGAGAGAGACAGAGCATGAGCATGGGAGGGGGAGACACAGAATCCGAAGCAGGCTCCAGGCTCTGAGCTGTCAGCACAAAGCCCAACGTGGGGCTCGAACTCACAAACCAGGAGATCGTGACCTGAGCCGAAGTCACATGCTTAACTGACTGAGCCACCCAGGCGCTCCTGAGACTTCTATCATTTAACAGTATTTTTTTTTCTCGCCAAGTTTTTATTTCTTACATATTGGTTTTCTCTCTTTTTTAACAGTATTTTTAATCCAACAGACATGCTATTTCCTAGGACCTAAAACCTGCGTTCTCCAAATAGAAGCTGGCTTT